AAGAACCTCTTCACTCCAGAACCAGTAATTGTGAACTGAACAGTCATATCTAAGATTATAGTTGCTTACCTGTGATACCAGCGAAGGTCCTGTGGCAGCACATTTCATAACTCAGTCACTGATTGCAGTCTATGGGATCAGACAACTTGCATTACGGGGTAAGTGGTATCATGCTTGTATTTCGTCGTTGTTGGCCTGCAGAATTGGAAACGATTGGTATTAACTTTCGGTTAGTTTAAGTTGTGAACCACTAATATATAGAAATATATAGACCTATTAAGAATTCAGTTTACATCTGTGGTTGAACAATGCCAAAGAATGAATTCAGTCTATGGGAGGAAGGCTCAGCTGTACCGGAGAGAACGTAATTCACTGATTGGTCTGTCTGCATATTCTGTTTGTAAATAAATGCTGCTATAAATGAAGCCGTATCAGGGCAAAAGAAGCGAAGTACGATGTCGGGTGGGAATGGACTTTGCCGATTTCCGCCTACGCTGACATCATCCCGTTTATCGGCGTTGGAGACTCAAATGGGACACGTGACGGGCAGAGTCAATGGGTCACGCGGAAACTGTACATCGACTTCCACCCTCCCCATTAATATCACAGCTGAAGTAAACTCCTGCGTGGCACATAGCACCAATTCGAGTCTAATTTCCAGTCTAATTCTGTATTCTCCCTCTCAAACTTTAATTCAATTCGTCTCAGTATGATGTACACGATGGCTCGTGTGGTTCTAGTGTCTTTTGCTTTACTCGCGTTGGGCTTGTTGAGGGCCGTGGCCGATTATCCGTACAAAACCATGTATTTCGACCAGATTATCGACCATTTTAACTTCAAGACTTACGGAAACCAGACCTTCAAGCAGCGATATTTAGTCACGGGTAGGTATATATCTTCATTTTCATCTTTAGTTTCATTGGGTGTCATATAGTTTATGAACACTTTTTATACTTTTTGGTAAATGGTTCATTTATTCGAATTAAAAGCTGACAATAATCTGAAAGCATTAAAATTTTGAGCTGGAAATTAGGCTTAGAAATTGAAACATACAATGAATCAATACACAGAAGCTGAATAAGAAGATGTAAACTTTAAATGGAAATAAAGGGAGGACAATACCTGTTCAAAACAATCAATGATAATAAGTACAAGAAGAAGCCAGAACGTCCTAGACAGGTCAGGTGGAGGTTAATTTGATTTAACACTTGAATCAAGGATTTCTTCATGTAAGTATTTTTTGTGTGACCTAAAGAGTGGATCTAGGACAAATTTTCCTTGGAGGCCTAACATATTTCTGGAGTACCCAAAGTAGTAGATTTCCTCCATACACCGGTAATCTTTTATGGACCTTCTATAAAAGAGGCTAATGGGGGCTTTTTACAAACTCTTGGATTGGCAGGGAAATGAAAAGAACCCCCTCCCCTGTATTGGGTTTATCTCATTGTTTGCCACCGTTTTCATTGACTGTGTGGCCTCTTGTTTCTCGTCCACCCGCCAATGTATGGGCTCTGTTGTGATTTACGTTCATTTCCACAGAGGACTACTGGGCTGGTGGCTCCCATCCAGTTTTCTTCTACACGGGAAATGAGGCAGACATCACAATATTCCTCAAGAACACCGGCTTCCTTTTCGACATCGCACCCAGATTTGGCGCCCTGGTCATTTTCGCCGAGCACGTGAGTGAACAAGGTTCCTCCCGGAAGGGGGCTAACTTTTACGAGAAAGGATGGGAGATCCAAACGAGTGCTTCAGTCTACCGAAAACGTGAAGAACCACACCCAGACCCCCAGGGGTCGGTACGCCAAAAGTACACCCGTTGGCAAAATGATTTGTTTTTCAATTGAAAGCATACACATTTGCCATTTTTGTTTTTTTTTTCGACTCATTTCGGTCAGGGAATCTTATACATGCATCGACTCAAAAAATCACTCTAAATATAAAGACAGAACTTTTCACATAATTGTTAATGAACTCAGCGGACAAATTTTGGACTTTTTTTTCAAGGGTGCACCCTCAGACATGTCCGGACGTACGTGTAGTCCGGGAACTCTCTC